GCCCAGAACTGGGGCCCCATGAGCGACCCCTTGGGGTTCCAGAGGACACTTACCATCTGGTGGTGGTGGTGGCTGTAGGGAATATTGGTCTCCTGGAAGAAGGCGCTGAGGGCAGTCTGCAGGGAGAAAGGCCCACACTTACCCTCCAGGACCCGGCCAGCCCTACGGCTGCCCTGTTCCCAGGCTCCTCTAGGCTTGGTGCAACCCTAGCCTGATCACCCAGCAGGAGGGTGAGTTGACGGGGCTGGGGCCGAAGTGTGCCTGTCACCACCCAACCCTCCAGTGCCCAGGAAGGTGCCAGGGCACTCAGGCAGTTCAGATGGGTGGTGGAGACCCTCATGTCTCTCACTGCTTGCCACCTGCCAACAGCCTGCAGAGCCCACTCCTTGTGCATACCTGGCATTGTCGCCATGATGGGGGAGGGAATGCCCCCACCCTGTCTCATGAGAAAAACTGTGGCTCCTAAGTAGCCCAGCTGGACCTAAACCTCTGATTCGGCAGAGTCTAACCTGGCTCTGTCACCACCTCAATAGATGGCAAGTCCTGACTCTTCTCTGAGCTTCTGTTTCCTCATCTGTGAACCAGGGGGACCTTAAGGAAGGAGTCTGAGCCTGGAGGGTGCAGACCTACTTCTCTACCCAGCTCTGCCTTAGATTAACTAAGTGGTCTGTCTGGGCCTCAGTTTACCCATCTATAACACAGACTGGACTAGGTGGCTTCCAGATTCCCCTCTTTAGCAACAGTGACCTCCTAAAATTACCATATTCCAGCCAGGAGAACCTAGAATTAATAGGAGTGTCTGAGTTTTCCACTCACTCACTGACCCACCTGAGCCTCCCGTGGATGCTCTCCAAGTGGCGGAGCAGGAAGGCAGCCCCCGGACTGAGCCCATCACCCCACGTACAACTGTTCCCACAGAGCTCCCTGGCTGCCTGCTACTAGCCGTGCCACTGCCACATGCCACACTGAGCAAGGTGCCCACATCAAGCGGCAGCATGTATCGTCATTAACCCCAGAGCAGGAATTGGCACCACCCGTTTTACAGACAGGGAAACTGAGGGACAAAGTGATTTGCTCTGGGTTACTTGGTCAGCAAAAGGCAAAGGTGGGGTTAAGACCCCAGACAGTGACTCCAGGCCTCAGACCAGCCCAGGCGCTGCCTGTCAGCTCAGCTGGTTCCCCGGCCCTGGGGGGAGGTGCTGGCATCTGGTGTGTCCTGGCTTGGCCCCTGCAGAGGGGGTGTCGGAGGGAAATGAGGCTGCTCTTGCCAAAGTGCTGGGTGAGGGAGCCCTGCAAGTGTGTGAGGGGTCCTTGAGGGCCTTGCCAAGTCCCAGGCCTGGCTGCGTTAGTGACTTACTGGCCCCTCCCCTGCCCCAACACACTCAGAAACCCTGGCCAGGCTCCCAGGGCTTGCCCTCGGGGGTTTTATTTTTCTGTAAATTCAAATAAATTATCCTGGGCATTTCCTGATGGAGACACCCTACCCAGGTGTCCCCAAACGAGTAGGGGCGCTCAGGCATGAGTGCTGGTGTCTGTCTAAGCGCCTCCCTGACCCCAAGACCCTCTGGCAGCAGGGGCTGCTCCCCACAGCCCAGGCCCACTCTGCAAACCCCACCCAGGAGCTCCAGGCGACAGCCCGGATGCTCCCCTCTACAGGCCACCATGTGAGTTCTCCATTGAGAAACATCTGCCCCCACTAGACGGAGGCCCCTCCCCTTGCAGCCTTCTGCCCCCATTAGCACCTGAATCACAGAGAATGTGACCCAGAAACACCGGCAGCGGTAGGAGAGCACAGAGGGGGATGGGTTCCATGATGAACCCCTCTCCCACTCCCATGAAGAAGCCTGAGGTATAGCCACCTTACATGAGCTGAGGGCATAGGGCTCCTGACTGTGGGGGCCACCAGAGCCCCCCAGGTTAGTTGTGCCCCAGACATTTCAATTTTCAAAGCTGGGTTTTTGGTTTCTTTTTTCGAGACAGAGTCTGTTCCCCAGGCTGGAGTGCAGTGGCTCGATTATAGCTCACTGCAGCCTCGAACTTCTGGGCCCAGGCAAAGGAATCTTCCTGCCTCAGCCTCCCAAAGTGCTGGGATTACAGGTATAAGCCACCACGCCCAGCCCAAAGCTGCCTTTTCGATTCACCTGGGCCGCCTGAGGGACACAGCCTGGGTGCCAGCTGGGTGTCAGGCTCTGATGGCTGGGCTGAGCTCTGTAGGCAGGGCCCACTTCCCACTGGACACCTGCCTGCCCTGCCCTAGGTAGGGAGGGAACCCGTATGCAGATGCGGGACTCAAGCAGACTGCCACGAATGTGGTTTTGCAAGTTTTGCCACATCCAGCCCTTGAGACAAACAGGGCTGTTAGGTGGGGAGCTGGGAGCTTCTCAGGGTGGGGCTGCCTGGGGGGAGGGGGCTGTGAGCTGGCCATTAGAGGCTGACTCACACTTCTGCCCCCCAGGTACAGTAGAGGAAACTGAGACCAGAAAGAGCAGCCTCCATCTCCTGGGATGAAGACTGCCCAGGCTCAGTGCTACTAAGATCTCTGCTAGGAAGGCGGTGGGCAAGGAGGAAAGGATGGATTCCTCCGAGTGGAAGGGCCGCTGCCTCCTCAGTCTGTCCCAAGTTTGGGGCATTCTGATCCCCATCCCATACCCAGGGGGCTGAGCCCCAGAGCCCTCTGGCTCCCAGTCCCTCCTGCAGGCCCAAACACCTTCCCTAGGATGGCTCCCCATTGAGAAATCAGGATCCTGGGCCCTAGCTGGGCACAGACACTACCAGACTGGCTGATGGCGTAACCCTACACCTGAGGGTCTGGCCCCACCCCTAAATATTACCACCGTGTTATTTCTGGGGTCTATGAATTAGGAAGGGCCAGGGTGCCCCTTGGCAGCACACACCATGGGCACTACAGCCCTATGGATCAGTGTAGGCCTGGGGGAGTGGGTGCCAGACTAGAACAGCCCCACCTCCTGCCCGGCTAGCCCGAAAGCTAGTGAACCGCGTACACCTCTCTGGCACAGATTCCCCTGCCAGCCTCGAGGGCACCCGGACACACACGTGGACTCCCCAGGCGCGCCTCTGGAGCGGGGTACACACACGCACACCCCCACGCTGTAGTGTGGGGCCCCAACCCACCACCCGCCCGCTCCGTGTACCCACAGCCCACCCTGTACTGGGCACCCGCACCACCCGCAAACAGCCACATGTGTACACGCTGAGCGGAACCAGACGCAGCGGGCGGACTGCGCGTCCACACACGCGCCAACATGCCCACACGTACACAGCCCGGGTGCCCCGCTGACGCCGTGGCGCGGGGCGTGCGTAAATACAAGTGCACATGTCCGCGTACGCGCCCGCCGCCCCCCGGGGCGCACCGACCCCGGGCCCCACGCGCGGGCGGCCCCGCCCTCGGCCCCGCTCGGCCGCGGCCTGGGGCGTCCTCCTTCCGGCCGCCCGCCCGCCAGGCTGTCCGTCCGCGGCGCCGCCCAGCCTCGGCCGTTACCCGGACAAAAGGGGGACCCGTCTCGGCCGCCGGGGGCTCGGGGCCCCGCGGCACTTCCGCAGCCAGCCCACCCGCCCGCCCGCCGCGAGCCCCGGGCCCGGACGCCGCCGGCACTGTCGGGAGAGCGGGTCGCGGCCGCGGCCGGCCCGAGGGCGCACGGCCACACGTGCCCACCCGCCCGCGGCCCCGCGCGGACACCCGGCCCAGCCCGGCCGCGGCCGCGCACCTCGAACTGCCAGTGGGCCGCCTGCAGCAGCTGCTTCGCCTGGTCGGCCGCGCAGCCCGCCGTCAGCACGAACTGGTTGATCATGACCTGGTGCTTGAGCTCGTCCATGTTCACGGACATGGCGCCGCCGCTGCCCTCCGGCCGCCCTCGCCGCCCGGCCGCGCCTCACGCGTCCACCATTAGCGAGCCGGCTCCGGCTAATACAAATATTTACCGTGCGCTCTGACTCACCGCGCCGCGCCTCGCGCCGGCCGCCGCGCATGCTGGGACTTGTAGTCCCGGAGGCGGGGAGGCCGGGCCAAGGCCGGGGCCCCGGGGCCCGCGGCGCTCGGCGTCGCGCTGGGGCAAGCAGGCGCTCCCGTGGAGCCTGGCGCGCAGTGGGCGCCAGCACGCAAGCTCTAGTTCAGGGAATGAGTAAGTCTGCCCTGCAAAGCTCTGCTCCAAGCCACCGCCTCCAGGCAGCCTCCCGGATCTCCCCAGTTTAGTCACGCATCACCCACCCGAGGTGCGGGCCCTCCCCAAGCCTGGCTCCCGGCCTGCCACACAGTAGGCCCGCACACAGTCTCGGGAAAGGATGGCGCCCGGGACGGGCCGGCGTCCTCGGGGCGCCTCGGGGTCCTGCTCGCGGCAGTACTCCCACTTTCCCACGCAAACTCTCGTGCTCTTTGCCGGGAATCCCGGCCTTCACAGGCGGGCGCTAGGACCCCGCGGAGCCAGTTCCGGAGCGGCCCAGAACTCCCATTCCCAGAATGCCTTGGTTTATTTGCATCGTTTTGTCCTGGGTGACGTCAGCTGAGTGAGGCCGCGCCTCGACCAATGGGTAGCCTCAGGGTGTTAGGACCTGGCCATATAAGGTAAACAAAGCTGGCCGCCCAATGAGGCGGCGGCGGGGGCGGGCGCTGGGTCCGCAGGCGGGGGCGCGTCACGTGGCGGGCGGGGGCGGGGCGTTGCGGGCTGTGTTTACAGCCCCGCACATGTGGCTTCCGGTTGACGTCGCGGGTTGGCTAGGGGGGCCCGGGGTGTCTTTGAGCTGTTCGGGGTGGCAAGGCCGGGTTGCTCCTGCTCTGAGTGACCTTGGCCCAGTTCCTTGCGCCTCCTGGCCCCAGATCCATTTGTCGAGCCACTATTTGTTGGGCCCTTACTCTGTGCCCGGCCCTGACCTGACTTGGGAGTACAGGGGAACAAAACCGGGGTGGGTGGCTGTGCCATCGTCGCTGGGGGAGCGAATGGCAGGAATCCCAAGGACAAATGTAGTACTGCAAATATGGAAAATGCCCTAAGGAAGCAGGCACAGACGTGGGATGGGTTAAGGGCCATCGAAGTGTTTTAGTAGGTCCCATCCTAGTTCGCATTAGGGGTACTGTGGCTGTGGCAGTGTGGGGACCAGATGGTGATGAAGTCCAGTCCGAATCAGAGGATATTCTGGGTGTGTCTGGCTCCAGGAGAGGGTGCCCCTACCTGTGGAATTGGATTGAAAAGGGGAGGGGGCCAAGGTCGGGCTACCTGGGTGGGCCCTTCATCCCTACCTGGGGCTTTCCCATGGGGTGGCAGGAAGACGTTAATGGGGTAACTGGAGGACAGGGCTGAAACATCCTGGGTTTGAGAGGGTGAGGGTGGGAAGGCGATGGCACCATGATAGCTCAGGGAGTTAAGGAGGGAAGGGAGTCAGGGAGCAGTGGAATCCACCTCTGAGGACTAGAACTGGGAGCTTGGCCCGTGGGCAGGGAGAGATCACTGAGTATCGGGTGCCTTAGCCCTGTTAGAAGCCACCTGACCACAGGAAATACTGCTTAAGCCTCTTTCCTGCTTGGATGGGTATCACTCAGGCTTTTTTCTTTGTAAACTCTGATAGTGCCAAGAGATTTTTGCTCTTGGTGAGAATCACATCCCTTACCTTTGCAAAGCATCATACTTGTGAATTAACGTGAGTAAAGTGCTCAGCGCAGGCTAGGCACACAATAAAGGCAGCTTGGACTATGGTGACTGCTATAATTATTATCATTGGAACTGCAACACAGCATGGTAGAGGTGGGGAAGTTCTGGGGTCAGACAGACTAGGTTGTCAGTCTTAATTCTACAGTTTACTGATCGTGGTGTTGAGCAAGTTACTCTAGCTCTGAGCTTCGGTTCCTCACTTCCAGAGCTCTGAGCTCTTCTAGCGCTACTGTGGGGGCTAATGCTTGTGAAGTGTGTGGAACTCAGCACACCAGTTCCGTCACTCTGACCCCTTTGCCCCCATTTAGGCCACTCTGGGGAGCTCAAGCCTCATTTTACAGATAAAGGAACTGAGGTTGGAATTCCCTGATGTTCAGAACCTGTGGAGAAGAGGCACCTGGTGGGCCAGCAGAGTGTGTTTCTGGTTAGGGAGGGTGGGCACTGTCCTGGCAGGGCCCACTGAGGGCTTTTCTTGTTCAGGGAGGCAGGAGTGCCTTTACTCCTTCTCCCACCCTCATCCTGGTACCACTCAGATACCTGCCCAGGCTTGCCCAGATACCTGCCCTGAAGGAGATCTCCCAGGCCAGTAGGCTGGTAGGGGTGGGGCAGATGGGACTGGCAGGGGCAAAGGTCACCTTGCTGGTCTCCGTGCCTCACCCCCTCAGCTGGCTTGTTTTTCCAGGGGCTACACAGAAGCAAAAAAACAACTTTGTTTTCAGCCAAGATCAGCCTGGCTGGAGATTGGACTTTGGATTTCTTGCAGGCTGGAATGGGACCTGACTGTAAATGGGGGGGGGGAGGGGAGGAGAAGGCATTTCCCTCAGCGCCCTTATCTTCCCTGAGGGCCAGAGAGGTTGAGGGCTTTGCCAAAGTGCACATGATCTGTCAGTGACATGCTGTGGCCTCCTCTTCTTCACTCCTACCCTTCCACCAACATGTTTATGAAACACCAACTGGGGAACACAAAAATTGGCCAGGATCCTATCCCCTCAGGAGGCTTGAGAGGAAGTCTAGACTTGTGAGACTCAAACCAGGAAGCCGTGAGCTGTCCCCAGGGTCTTTCTTTATGTTTCAAAGAATCCAGTATTTACTGAGGGGCCTTCAGATCTGTCCCCCACCTTGCTCCTGACCTCTGATTCTATACTCTCCCCCTCCCTTGATTCTAGCTCACTGGCCTTTTAGCTCCTGGGCCATACTCAGTACTCTCCTGCCTCAGGGTTTTTGCTCATGTGCTCACCCCTGTGTAGAACCTAGAGCAGCCTGCCCCTCACATTCTGCCTGGTTGGTTATTAGTTGTATTTCAACTCCTGCCTTAACTGTCAACTCCTCAAAGAAGCCTTCCCGGAGTCCTCTATCAATAGTATTTCTCTATTATTTCATAGCACCTCAGTCCAGTCCCCCAGAGCACACACTATATACTTGTTAAACTTTTTAGTGTCTGTTTCCTCACTATCCTGCAGACCTGGTGTCTAGCGGGTTCTACCATTTGATGCCTGTTGCCTGGTTCATCACCTGCAAATATTTATCACCTGTCACATAGTAGCTGTGTGATAAATATTTGCTGAACAAATAAATGAATCACCCCAGATGTCGTTAGTGGAACTTGGACCAAATCACGGAGGGCCTGTCTTCTACCTGGGTGTGTATAAACAGAAAAATTGCTGGAGGGGCTTTGAGGATACCTCGAATCCAAGGCTCTATTAAGAAGAATAATTAATCAAATATCCAGCAGGTGAAAACAACTGCTCTGGTCCAGGATCCAAAAGGAGCATGTGCTCTTAGTGCAGTTTTTCAGTGGGAACCACAGGAACCTCTGGACTCTCCCTCCCTCTCCACAAACAGTGAGGGCAGTAAATTGAATGAGGTATTGGTATGTCCGTGTACCTGCATTATGTGATTTAAGGGAAGAGAGATCACACTAAATAGGAATGTCCTCAGGCCCATCCTTTCGGGGTAAGAGACTTGAAATCTGGCACATTGGAGCATGTCTCTGGGGAAGCCAGAAAGTGCAGAGGTAAGAGCAGTGGCCTAGTTCAGATTCCAGCTGTACCACTTACCTGCTATGCAATCTGAATGAGATACTTCACTTCTCTGAGCCTCACTTTCTTCTTCTGTCAGATGGGAGTGAAAATAGAACCTATGTCAGAGAATTAAATGAAAGAGTATGTGCAAAGCCTAAGCGTGACGACATGATAGTGCTCAGTAAATGTGGATTTTGGTTGGGGGACAGAGAGATTTAATCAGGCACCCCAAGACATGGACTCTCCTGATAATCACGCAAGTCCCTAATCTCTGTTATTCATTTGGCTTCCTAATAGGAAGGTTGGATCCTGGATTCTGGCCCCTGAAAAGGTGTAGAATATATTTTAACGTGGACCGTGGTGAATTTACCATCAGAGGCACTTGGCCTGCGGCTGCCCTCCCTAACCGCTTTCTTGGTACAGCAAGCTTGACTTGAGAAATCACTCTTCTCGGAATCCCAGTTCCTCAACTGAAACATAGGTAAAAACCGACCTCTGCTTGGTCCCTGCTTACAGAGTTGTGTGTGAGTCGAGAGCCAGGAAATACCTTGCAAACGGCCAGGTTTTGATCCTGACCTTAATTCTTGCAAAATTGTCTTCAGCACATTGTATGCAGCCCTCCCTCTTTTGTGCCTCAGTTTCCCTGTGTGTAAAATAGGGAGAGGTCTACTGCCTTCAATGGCAATTTGTAAAATTACGTCTTCAACGCAATTGCTCTGGACGTGGCGCCAGAGAGAGGCCTTGAGTGCTGGCAAAGGCTAAAGCAGGTGCCTGGCTTCCTCCGTGCGCACCGCTCCAGGTGAGCCTGGGTCCCACCCCCTCTTTCGGGCCGGCAGGTGAGTGTGTGCCCTCTGCTGGTCCGGGCAGGGGGCAAACCATGGGAAGTGGGGGGAACCACAGTGGCTAGGGAGATATTTCAGAGCGAGGGTAGGTGGAAGGCGTTGGGGCCCTGGCACTGTCTATATATGGACAGATTATGAAGAGACTAAGGAGTTAAGATGTTAGTGCTGCGCTTGGAACGCGGAGGGAAGGACAATTTGCGGTCCTTCTCCCCGGATTTCGGTCCACTTGGTCCCTCCCGGAGTGGAGTCAGCGCGTCAGGGTCTGGGCGGGGAGCATCCTGGGAAATGTAGTTCCGCGGCGGGCTCCCCGTGCCGCGCCCGGCGCCTTTGGCGGCCCCGGGACTCCATTTCCCGGCGTGCCCCGGGCCCGGGGGCGGAGGGCCGCCGCGGCGTCCGGCCCGGGCCGAGCCGGGGGTGGGGGCTCGGAGCCGAGGCGCCGCCGCGGCCGTGGACCAGCGTCCGTGTGGTCCGGGTCATGTCCGCGTGAGGGCACCGCCGCCGCCGCCCCCGTCCCGGCCCCGGCCCGGCAGCGCCGCGCACCATGGGCTCCATCCTGAGCCGCCGCATCGCGGGGGTGGAGGACATCGACATCCAGGCGAACTCGGCCTACCGCTACCCCCCGAAGTCCGGTGAGTGCCCGGCCCCGGCCCCCAGGCGCGGACGGCGAGGCGCGGGCTGGAACGCGGGCCCGGGCGCAGGCGCGGGGGCGGGACGGGGGCGCGCCCGCGCGGGGCCCTCGGCGGCGGGGGCTGGGGCGTTGGGGGCGGGGGCGCCCCGCTCGGTCCCCTCCCTGCCACGCTCCTTTCCAGAAGCCCCGCGCTGCCCCTCGGCCCGAGCCGGAGGCGTGGCTGGGGACCCTGGACCGACTGGCCCGAGCCGTGCCGGGCGCTGCACCTTCCCGGCTGGGTGACCTTGGGCCAGTCACTTCGCCCCCGGGTGCCTCGGCTCCCTCCTTTGCACACCGGGGAGACTGCTGGTTTAAACTCCTGGGACGGCGAGGTGCTTAGTTCTGGTGCTTCGTGGGTGCTTAGAAAGCGTTCACCGTCACAAGGATTGACCTCACCACCATGGCCGGTTTCTGCTTTCTTGGTGATGGCTTAGTGTGAATACCGGACACTTACCATCCCATCTGGACAGAGGCTTAACTCTCCGGGTGTGTGGGTGGCAGGAGTGGGGCTGGGCCCGAGATGATGATTGTAATTGATGGGGAGGGACTGGGGTCCTTGCTGGGAGGACAGGGCCTGAAGCCAAGCTGGAGAACAGGAGAATGGCTGGAGAGGATCTACTGGATTCTCTGGTCTCTGTTTTATGACTGAGGGACTGGAGCCACCAGGGAGGAAGTGACTTTCACAAGGTCTCTAAGCTGGATGGAAGCACAGCCGGGACCAGGTGTGGGGCTCCCGGAGAAGCCTTGTTCCCATCTGTTCTCCTGCCTCTCTTCATGAGCTGGCCTGTCTGGGAACTTTTAGCTCCACATTCCCAGTCTCCTCCTCGAGGGATCAGTTGTGGTGGAAAGGGGAGAAGAAGGAGGGGGTAGAATTTGGACATGGTGGGGACATGCAGATGGGGTTCTCAGATCCTAGCTTCTCATCTGATCTGATGTCTCACCTCCCAGGTGTCTTCAGACACCCACAGGCCAGATCTCTGAGTGTGGTCCAGGACCACCTGTTGCCACAAGTGGGGTGGCTTGTTAGACATCCCAGACCCTGCCTCAGAGCTGCTGGGGCCTGGGAGCTTCCATTTTAAACCCATTCCCCAGGTGAGTCTTATGTCCACTGAAGTTTGAAAAACTACTCTGCCCTGATTTTGTAAGGTGAAAGAAGGTGAGGGTCCTGGGGCTGCTGGGATAAAAGAGGGAGGAGGGGACTTAGCACAGTTTGGGGGCAGTCAGAAGGGGATGGAGTCGGAGCTGGGCAGAAGGCACTTGCCAGTTGGGAGATCTCCATGCCTGCTTGTATCCCAGGCACAGCAGTGGGGCAGCCTGGGCAGACCCTGGAGGCTCTGAGGGCTGAGATCCCCAGATTGGATGTAACATTTGTGTGCTGTTGTCCTCTCCCGTCTCTGGTGTTCTTCCAGGCTGTCTCTGGCTGAGTGACCTTCATCAAGTTGCTTAACGCCCCCTCCCCTGTCACAGTTTCCTCATCTCTAAAACGGGCAGATACTTTGTACAGTGCTCAGAGCCGTGCTTGGCACTTAGGAAGTCCTTGACAAATGGTAGCTGCTATCATTGCTTAAAAAGGCGACCAGGTGGCTAGCTTAGGCCCTAATAACAGTCAGCAATGGCATGACAGAGTTATCAAAAAGTTTAATGTGGCACTTCCTATCACCTGGGACCTGAGCACACTTGATGTCCCTTCACTTGGGCATTTGGACAAAATAACAAATATAGCCCAGTTTTGGATTCCACCGTGGCGGATGTTGCTGATCACTCACGACACTGCTTCCCACTGAGCGTCCGTCACAGAGCACCCCAGTCAGCCGCTATTAATTGGTTGGCAGGCACCACAGGTGATGCAACACATTGGCCTCTTGAGTCATGCTGCCAGCCACAGCACTGCTGTCCTGTCCAAAGGCTGTCCTCTGCAGCTAGTCTTTTTTCTTTTCTGTTCCTCAACCTTCTGGGTGATCTCTTGGATACTTGGGCCCTTCTTTGTTCATCTCTCCCAGTCCTCAGGATCCTGGTCCTGTGCCTTTGTGCTCTGCCGGCTTCCCAGAATCCTCAGGAGGACTCCGTGAGGTCAGGGAGCATAGGTCCCAGGCAGGAGGGGCCTTAGCAGTACTTCAGTGTGTTTCTCCAAGCGTGGACTGGGGACTGCAGGGACGTTTAGGGGCATTTTAGGGGGTGCCCCCATGGACCATTCACTCACTTTGTGAAAAAGATTTCAGGTTTCTCAATTTTGTTGATTATGTCAAGGAGAAAGAATCATCGGGTGCTAGTATTTTTTTTTTTTTAGCACTTTTCTAACTGTCCAATTTTCTTCAGCATGTACTGCAACAGTGCTCAGCTTGAATTTAATAACAATAGCTTTGTTTTCATGGTATCTATTTATTTTACTTTTAACAGCTTTATTGAGATATAATTCATGTTGCATACAACTCATCCATTGTAAACGTGATTTGACGATTTTTAATTTATAGAGTTGCGCAATCTTCATAATTTGTTTTAGAGTTTTCTCTCCCAAAAGTTTCTTTGTGTGTGTTTGCAGACAGTCCCTGTCCCTTCCCCAACTCCCAGCCCATCACTGATCCACTTTCTGTCTTTAAAATTTTCCTTTTCTGGCCAGGTGCAGTGGCTCATGCTTGTAATCTCAGCGACTTGGGAGGCTAAGACAGGAGGGTCATTTGAGCCCAGGAGTTCAAGGTCAACCTGGGCACCATAGTGAGACCCCTCTACAAAAATAAGAAAATTTAACTGTGCCTGGGCATGGTTGCACATGCCTGTAGTCCCAGCTATTTGGGAGGCTGAGGCAGGAGGATCACTTGAGCCTAGGAGTTCAAGGCTACAGTGAGCTATTATGTCACCATTGTACCTCAGTCTGGGTAACAGAGGGAGACCCCATCTCTAAAAATAAATAAATAAAAATAGAAAATAAAGTAAAAATTTCCTTTTCTGGACTTTTCATGTAAGTGGAATCATACAACATGTAGGCTATTTTTGTGCCTGGTGTCTTTCACTTAGCATAATGTTTTCAAAGTTCATCCATATTGCAGCATGTATCTGTACTTCTCTTATATGGTTATAGTGCTTTTTTTTTGAGACAGAGTCTCACTCCATTGCCTGGGCTAGAGTGCCGAGGTGTCAGCCTAGCTCACCGCAACCTCAAACTCCTGGGCTCAAGCAATCCTTCTGCCTCAGCCTCCCGAGTAGCTGGGACTCCAGGCATGTGCCACCATGCCTGGCTAATTTTTTTTTTCTATATATTTTTAATTGGCCAGTTAATTTGTTTCTGTTTTTAGTAGAGATGGGGTCTCGCTCTTGCTCAGGCTCTTTTCCAACTCCTGATCTTGAGCGATCCGCCCGCCTTGGCCTCCCAGAGTGCTAGAATTACAGGCGTGAGCCACCGGGCCTGGGCGGTTATAGTGCATTTTGATTATCTTTCTACTAACAAACGTTTGGGTTGTTTCCACTTTTTGGCTAATTATGAATAATGCTCCTATGAGCATTCTTGTATAATTTTTTTGTATGGATATGTATTTTCATTTCTTTTGGCTGTATACCTAAGAATGGAATTGCTAGATCATATGGTAACTGTATGTTTAACCTTTTGAGTAACTTCCAAACTGTTTCCCAAGTTGCTGCACGATTTTACATTAATTCCCACCAACAGTGTATCAGGAGTCCAATTTCTCCATATCCTTGGCAACATTTGTCTGCCTTTTGATTATAGCCAAGATAGTGTGAAGCGGTATCTCACTATGGTTGTGATTTGCATTTCTCTAATGACTGATAATGTTGAGCATTTTTTCAGGTGCTTATTATCTTGTATATCTTTTGGCTGTGAAATGTCTGAGTCTTTTTTCCAGTTTTTATTTTATTTTTTTATTTTTGAGACAGAGTCTCACTCTGTTGCCCGGGCTAGAGTGCTGTGGTGTCAGCCTAGCTCACAGCAACCTCAAACTCCTGGGCTAAAGCGATCCT